CTCTCACAAATCCATACAGGTCCTCCAGGAACCAGGTGCCTGCCTTCAGTCACCACTCTCCTCCTGTCACTTGCTGTTGAGTTCTCACTGTTCCCTGACTCACTTTAAATGAAAAAATGGTATTAGCTAATTATACCACTTTCAGATTCTTACTCATCTCTTTGGCCTTTTGCTGCCAATTTTCTTGAATCCTGCTCTTTGCAAAACTTCTCTCTCAAGACATCAGTTCACATGAAGAACTGGAAAGTATCATCTTTCTCTGGAGACAAATCCATGTGTTAAATCATTTTGTATTGGCCAGATGGTCCCCAACACCCCCCAAAAGGAAATGCTAATCCGGGCATTTCAAAATTACCCAAAATTTAACATGTTGAAATCAACCTCCCCAACCTTGCTTTTTAAATCAACAAGATCACTTATGTTCCTGAGTACTCTTTCAAGCTAGGACATTTGCAGTTGTTTTGCTATCATTACCAATACTCTGGTTTTCCTTAAGAACTTAATTCATCATCAGCACTCCTTTGCCATTCCACTGAGTCCTAGGAATAGCACAGGAGTGTAGACATGTTCTAATCTTTTCTAACCCTGAGTTCTAACCCTAATTTTGCTGCAGCCAGTTGGGAGCACAGTTTTGGCCCTTTCTTTCTGGCCCCATACAAAGTCATAATATACTATAATATTGTTATAATAGGGGGGGAAAATAGTGGGACAGTTGTAATGGAAGAATGCAAGAAGATATCCCAGAGCCTATGGAACTGTACCATGAAATAAAAATAAAGATTAAACATGGAAAAATAAAGAAGTCATAATAATCTTACCTGTCTCATGGATTGATATGAGATAAAAAAGTTAGTAAATATAAAGCATTTAGAACAATACTTCACACATACTGAGTACCTCTAAAATGTGAGCCACTGTTACTATTATTTGCAACTCTGATGAAAACCTCTTAGACTCTTACCTCAGGCAACTTTCTTCTTCTCAAGCATAATTTGCAATAATATTTTCCTAATAAGAGTTAACATTTCCAACATAAGTAAGATACTTAATTACTACTCAATAAACTGTGGGCAATACTAGTGATAGGATATGATGAAATAAGATGGAATACATGAAACATGACCAAAAAACCTTCACCCTTAAAAGCTGTCTTTGAAGGACTAAACTATTGTAATACTGCAGGGGAAATCAAAAGAGGGACGAGATTTGTGAAGGTGAGAGAATCCCAGAACTTATGGATCTGTATCATAAAATTAATTGGCTAACATAAGAAAAGAAATTTGAAACAAGCCAAGAGAAAACAAAAGCTATCTTTTTTTCTGGAGGTGTTGAGTAGAGGGCAAAACACTGTATATGAGGCTAGCATCGGTACAGGTGCTGGTTTGAATCTCAGCAGCTGCACTTCCAATCCTATTAATGTGCTTTTCTAAAGCAGCAGAAGATGGCCAAAGGTTTTGGGACCCATGTAAACCACGGGGAGAATCTGGATGAAGTTCCTGGCTCCTAGCTTCACTCACTGAGAGTCAAAAGCAAATGGAAAAGTACTCTATTTCTATAGCACTCCCTCTCATCAAATACTCTCAAATAAATAAAGAAAGAAATTCTAAAAAAAGTTATTTTAAATTTATAAGCCACATTCTCTTATTGTATGCATTTTATATTTTGATGTTTTTATTTTATTAAGATTATTGGACTGGTACCATTTTGCACGATATTTAAATCACTATATAATTTTTGCTTCGGTGTTTTCTTAAAAATGATCATTTACCTGGTACTTCACCAGTACCTCACTAACATGTTTTTGAGTTTGGCATTCAGTATCAAGAGTATCTCATTAGCTTTGCCTGCTGCTTCTATCAGAGAATTCATGAGGTGATCCAGGAACAAACATTTCCAAGAACCAAAACAAGCTCTTTATGCCAGGGTCCAAATTTCAGTAGGCCATCCAGGTTTTAAATTGTGGGAAAGGAAGTAATCTTAATTCTCTCACCTTCCTTGGCTTCCACATTTAGTGAAAGAATAAGAAAGGACTAGATGCATGGTGTTAGATTTGGGTAGATGAAACACATTGCCTTAGAAACTTAAATCTTTGCTCCTTATCCTGTTTAAATTTCATATTTTTAAGTTTTCTTTGCACTCACAAGAGGCAACATGTTTTTTTCATTCCAAATACCTTTTAAGTAAATATTAACCATGTTATACTGCCAAGTCCTCTGACCTACAGGTGAACGAATTTGGACAAGATGATTTCTGAGCACCTTGTCAGTTACTGTGCTTTTTACTGGGCCTTGCAAAATGTGGAGGTGGCCTTTGTGGGTGGCACACAGCTGGATGACTCACTCCAAGGCTCTTCTGCTCAGGCCCCCTTTGGCATAGTCGAGGAAAGAGAGTGGGCTTCTGAGCCACACAGATGTGCCTTGGGATTCTGTCACTGCTACACAGCATTTTCACAGCACCTTTCAAGAGGGTATGCCTTTCTACATCATGCATCCTCAACCCTCTGATTTGATCGAATTAGTTCATGACCAGACATCTGACTTGGGCTCAATGTTTGACCCAACTAAATTACAGAAATGTTCTGTCCACATAAGATAAATTAGAGTTGTGTCCAGGGTCCAAAGAAGATTGATTGGTAAGTGGAGGAGGGTATAGGGAAGAAAGTAGGGAGGAAGTAAGGCAGGGAAAGAAGGAGAAAGGGAGAGAGGAGGAGATGGAGATAGAGGGAGAGGTAGAGTGAGAGAGAGAGATGTGAGATTGACAGTGAGTTCTGATGGGCAGTTAGTCAAGATACATCACTTACTTGTTTTCTTGTCCTCTTATGTTTACATTTCAAGATTTTTAAATTTTCATTTCAAATGCAGATCAAATTTAGAGAGAGGAGAGACAGAGAAAAGCTTGCCTTCTGCTGTTTCACTGTCCAAGTGGTAACATAGATTGGAACTGAGCCAAATTGAAACTAGGGTCAGAAGTCTCTTTTAGGCTTCTTGCACAAGTACAGGGTCCCAAGGCTTTGGGCAATTCTCAGCTGCTATAACAGGACACAATGAGGTAGCTGGATAGGAAGAAGAGCTGCCCGAACACAAACAAGTGAACACAGGGGATCCTGGCAGGTGTAACATAATGATTTAGCACCTAAGTCAATGAACCGGACACTGCAGTGATTTTCTTTTCCTCACTGTAAAATTGTTATTAGCATTATTTTGAATACAATTTTGCTCTTGTACCTATCAAATGTTAGCAAGGAATCTTGGGATTTGCTTAATGTGCAAAATAGAAAAAATAATAGTAATACATTCCTTGGAAGGCCGCTCTGAGGATTACACCTGAAAATGAATGAATCACTTCCCATAGAGTTCTACAAACTTAACAAGTGAGGAATAAATTGTGGGCATTGGTTCTTTCTAAGTATATATATCAAATAAACTGCCAATGTATGAAGAACTGAATTGGTTCTAGATATCACGCCTGTCTCTCACTGAGCAATCATACGGAAGAGTTTCTCAGATGGATCAGGGCAAGGGCACTACTTGACATCACCCACATCCTCTGCTGAATGACCAGACTCCATTCTGCACACTGGTCTCCACAAGTCAGGGTAGGTAAAGGTGGATAGGGGAGCAGACTGAGGACTGTTATCAAGAAGTGATTGCAAGCAATGATTGCAAGACCACACTGAAGAGATGAAAGACCCCCCTGTCCCTGTGTGATGGCATGGAGCAGCCCAATATGACTCTCTGCACTTCTGAAAGTAAAGCTGGAAACAGAAACTTGTTGCTCCTTGGCAAGTCTATTCAAATACATGCCTAAGCTTATGAGTATACTTGCTTGGCTATAAACCAACACATGGTTATCTGCACCGTGTCCCTACACGTATTGGTGGAAGACTCAAGACTTCCTCAAAATTAAACCTATACTCTGTATTTTCTTTGTCCGTTTTTTAGCATTTGATAATTTGTAGCACTTTGTTTGTATAAGCTTTTTAGTGGCATTTTTTTTTGCATGTGCGTGTGTGTTTTATTTTGCATAATACAGTTTGGTAGATATAGGGATTACACTGAGTATGGTCCCATTTGCCAAAACAGTCATTGATCTGAAATACAAAGGGCTTCTCTCTCTAAAGCCTCTTTGGAATCCTTCAGTGGGAATGCCTTGCCTCTCCTAAGCCCTGCCCAGCCAGGCTCATTCTCTTGCTTATGCACCATTCTTCTCCAGGGACTGTGCCTTTCCTATGCCAGATAAAATAATTGAGAATGTACCTGTTTGCCAGTGTTCCATGAGAAGTGCTTCACATGTTTATTTCATTGATAGGCCAAACAATCCTTTGACCTGGTACTATAGTCCACCAAAATCTTACAGATAAGAAACTTCAGAGAAGGAACAGTTAAATAACTTCAAGTTCTCACAGATAGTCAGGTCTGTTTGATTCCAAAGGCCAACTAGTGTCCTGAACCTATGCTGCCTTTGGCACCAACCAAACTCACCCCACTGATACCTGCCCAGTCTAGAACAGTGGATTGATCAGTCCACCATACATCAGTCAGGGAGGTATGCTGACTGATGTCATGTGAAGCAGAAATACCAGAGACAGTAAGAACCTTTGCTTCAACAGTTGGGTGCCTAATTCTGAACTTTGAAGAGGAGAAAACGTCATCAAGACTCACTCATTGGCTCATTCTGTCCTATTTAATTGGTGCTGCTGCTTTTCTCCTCCTTCCCAGTTGCAGCCTGCAGATTCAAAGTTCAGACTTGGAGCAGACAAGGAGAAACAGTACTCTAAATTATCTTAGTGGGATTGAAAGAGGAGACACATGGACACACACATAAAAAGATATGTATTCAAATGTATGTGTAGGGAAACGGTTAACCTAATAACAACAACTTGTAATCAGCAGAGCAAATTGCAAAACCAAGGTTTGGAATCCAGGTTTTGAGTTCTGTTTTTCTGATTTGATTTGGTGTGAGACTAAGCTGATGGGCGTGGTTAGAAATTCAAATCACAAATCATGTGCGAATTTGATGACACATGAGCAAACAAAACATCTGTGCAATATATTTGCTTCATGTACTTGTGCAAGCAAGAAGTCCACAAGAATTTGCCAGTCTCCTGGTCTGCAGAGAACTCAGAAACAACATGAGCACAGAAGGAAAAGTAAGAAAAACTCTGTTTCTGTTGGCATTACATATCTGCATGAATTATGTGGCATTGATGAGCAATTTAAAATTCATGTCTAAATTAGAAGGGATATATATGCTGAAATACAATGTGAAATATATCCTATATTTACATTGTGTGCTGCACTGCAATGGAAAAATTATTTCAAATATCTTTCAGTAAAATGCATAAAATCTGCTTATATTGATTTTACCAAACCAACAAATCAGTTTGTAATAATGTGATAGATTATTCCAAGACTATTATTTCTAATGAGAGTACTTTATGATTGTATGTCTTTAATCAGGAAGGTATCTATGATAAAAGTACGTAATTTCAATATGCTAATGTTTGTAATCATGCATTTTCTGTACCCTAGAATTTTAAGAATGAAAGATGTAGAAGAATTTGTTTCAAGGACAGTGAAATACAATTTGTATAAAATCTTTTCCACAAGTATTTTTCTCAGAGCATTAGGATCATCATATTAGAAGACAAAACCAATATTAATTCATAATTTCTACCAAATTCCAATGAAAAGTATCTATTCCATATAAAATTCAACATGATTTTTCAAAAGATAAAATCACACCAAACCCAAGTATCTTACTAATCCTAGGCACAAAGATAGTTGGTTTTAAATCTTTCATAAATTTATATTTTTAAAGCAACTTGCTTACAATTGCAGAGAAATGTACTCAGTCTATCAAAATAATCTGTTCATTTTAAGTGCTTCATTACAAAAGCACTGTAATGGTATCCAGTATTTTTGCTGTGTTAAGAACAGATGATACAATGAAATATTATTTCAGACCCTCTTCTTGTTTCTAAGGCAAACTTAAATAACAGATTGATGGAATGATGGGTCCTTATGAGGACTATATTGTTTTGGAACAGGGGGAAAATCTGTAGAAGGATGGGAGCTAAATGGGCTTCCAAGTTTATACAAAATTGCACAACAAAATTTGAAAATTCAAAATTAAAAAAGCCTTTATGAATAAAATTGGTTGGAGGCACATGAGCAGCTTTTGCCAGTGTTCTTAACTGTCTTTCTCTATTTCCATTTTTACCATTGAGTATTTACAACAGCATTTTCTATTTAAGTAAAAATAATTAGGTAAAAACCTTAAGTTTAGTCATGCACAGCTTAGAAAAAAATCTTAAGCTGACACAGCAAAAGTGTAAAGAACTACAATAATAAAATTACACATGAAGAAATGGGACATCTAGCAATCCTGTCCTCTCAGGTACACAACAATCACTCAGCCTACTGATAGTGCTTCCTGTATGTTACACACACTTGCTTTCAGTTTCCTCAGATGGAAAATAACATTGACATAATACAGTAGTCATGTGAGATTAATAAATTAATACTGTCAAGCACTTAGAATAATGGCTGGTACATAGAATAAGTTATTACATGTTGGTCATTTCTATTATTGCTGGTGTTGCTGAACATTTTGTTGACTTTTCACCACTACAAGGAGAGGAAGTTTTCAATTCTCTAGGATCCACTATTCTTGACTTTAGAAAATTGCTCCCTAAATCAACTGAGCTTCAGTCTTTTCATTCCAAAATTAAGGCAAAACAATGCAATTATACTCTTCGTTCTTAAATCTTAATTCTTAAAGATGAAGCTTGTAACTCATTACAAAACACAATGTAAGTGCCTCTGATTATCAAGACCTCAATATTATTAGTGTGTCAATGTCAAGTACTCTTCTGTTTATTGACTCCTTTGAGAAGCTGTTAGAGAGAGAGAGACCAGCCAACCCTGGTACCGTCTCAAACACCACAGCAAGGTAGCTGAAGTCAGGATCTCAATCCAGGCCTCTCACATGTGTGGCAGGAAACAAACTCAAGGCAACAGCACTGTTTCTTAAGGTCTGTGTTATCAGGAAGCTGGGGTCAGGTGCTAGAGGGAGGTATTGAACCCAAGTCCTCTGATCTGGCATGTGGGCTTCTGAATTGGTGGCTTCATTGCTGGATCAAACACCCATCACAAAATTTATTTTGACACTGATGATAGACAACATACTCCATAGTAGAACCATTTGAAGCATAAATTAGGAAAACAAACTCTCAGAAGAATAAATTTCAATTAAATTCTTGACATATTTGCAATTATATTAACTCTCTTTCAAGAAAGCTCACAACTGTGTTTGTCTTACAAGAGTCAGTTTCAGGAGTTTCAACTTCTTAAATAATTAATATCATAGAAAGAACAAATTACATGTGTTTTAGATGTCAAGTTCTAAGAATATAACCATATTTCCTTCTCTTCTTCTGCTTCTCTAAATCTCCCTCATTGCTTCCTTCCATTTTTATTTAATATTGACAAAACATAATTTCAACCCACAATATGTGCACATGCAAACAAAATACTGTGAGCACAAATCTTGCCCAACAGTCTCTACACATAAATAACAAAAGTAACAACTCAAAGTGTTAAATCACTCATGCAAATACAGAGAATGAAGATGTGCTCAAGAGGGAGAATCAAGAATAGGCAAATAAAGAAAGTCATCCTGATCAATGACCCAAGATCATACACATAACATCAGATCCTTTTGTTTTAAGCAGAAAATTAAGCAATGAAATAACAGCTTTTACGTGAATGTAGGCTGACTTTCAAAAAATGATTCTTAGAGTTTCATGTACAAAACAGTATTTGTGCATACGGTAGTAGCAATCAGGAACGACCAGAAATAAGCACTCTTGGTGGGGGAAATCAAACAAATGATGCCTTTGGTGAATATATTCCTGTTTCTCTCAATATCATAGCAGAGTGTTTCTCTCTCCTTATAGTATGCTTTGAATATGGTTTTCAAAACTTTCAAATTTTCTTTGTTCATTGCTGTGATACACTTCTTAGGATTCAAACATGAGACCAGATACTACATGCAGGTTGAGGAGAATCACAATCCCTGCTCTTAGACTGGGGGAAATGGCATCATCCTTCTGCTTGACTTTCCAGGTAATAAAATGCAAAGCAGCTGTGCTATGGGAGAGAAACAAGCCCTTTTCCATCGAGGAGGTGGAGGTCGCACCACCTAAGGCCCATGAAGTTCGTATTAAGGTGAACCACTTTTTATACTTCAATAGAATTTTACATGCAAAACTTCCAGAAGATATTAAATGGAAAATTTTTAAAAATACATTCAACAACATTGAATACATGTTTTTTCAGGCAACAGAATTGCATTTGCAATTAAGGAAAGATAAATACTTGCTTTTAATCTTTTTAAAACTGAGCAAGAGCATGTATAGTGAAAGTCTACAATATTAAAGAAAATGTATGTATTTATAGAAAGAAAGGATGCATGATTTCAAAATTGACTACCACTGGGTATTTCCATGAGCTAATGCACAATTTACATTTGTACAAAACTCATACATTCCTGTACACTAGATGAGACATATATGTCAGGATAAATTATTTCACAGAATATTCCAAATGGCTTACTTAAGGGAATGAAGGCAGACTAGGCACAAAAGGCTTTAGATTCACCTTCAGACTCAACTGAATTGTAATTGGGAAAAGTAGGGATTATTAGTAAAACTCCTTAGAAGTACACCTCCACGACATGATACAATCCATCTGAGGATCACATCCTCCTCTGAATCTACTCTTTCTCTCCTTAGATGGTGGCCACTGGAATCTGCCGCTCAGACGACCACGCGGTTAGTGGAAGCATTGTCTCTCCTCTCCCTATTATTCTAGGCCATGAGGCAGCTGGCATTGTGGAGAGCATAGGTGAAGGCGTGACAACTGTAAAACCAGGTAAAGAATTCACACTCAGAGACGGTGCCTTAGTTTTAGATCCCAAGAGCATCCAGGTCAAAGAACACACTGAGGACATGATAGAGAAGACAACTTGCCCAAGTTCACTAGTGAGCTGCTTTCTTCTTTCCTTCTGCCTAACTTGGGCATATATATGCGTTCAGGCACTCAGGCACTCTCTTCTGCAGTAATTATGTTTTGAGCATCTCCTAGAGGCCAAGTTACTTGGAAAAGTCAAGAATTGGTTATCAACATTCTCATTTTCACTATAATCCAGGCTACAGCAGATTATCCAGTCTCCTCAACATGTAATGGAACTATGACAGCCCACTTGAAACTAAATTAATACTTCTGGAGAAAAGACTTAGGCTTGAATTAATGAAAGAGTAAGTGAAATTGTGTGTGTAGAGTCCCCAGCAGAAATCAGGGAGTGCAAAATGAAGTATTAATATAGTGGAAGTTATTTCTAAATCTGTGTTGATTCTCACATTTGAATTTCCTGTTTGGAGTATCCAGGCACCATCAAACCCACTACTGATAAAAAACAAAAAAAAACCTAAACAAAAACCTTTGCTAAAGTGACTAGTGAGAGCTGGGATTAAAACTTATGTCTTGCAGATTTAAAACAAAAAAAGAAACCCAAACCTATAATACATGCTTTGTGATGTAAACTTTTTGATCATGCTTCATTAACTCCTGGGTAAAAACCTAAGAACTTGTTTTCTGCCTCTCCAGGTGATAAAGTCATCCCGCTCTTTACTCCCCAGTGTGGAAAATGCAGAGTTTGTAAACATCCAGAGAGCAATTTCTGCTTGAAAAATGAGTATGTTTCTGACACTCCCCTTGCACAGCAATCTGTTTACATATTCATTATGTTCCTGTCTCATGTCCTTGTGTGTTTCTGTCTTGCTCTGAACAGTTTGGCCAAGCCACGTGGAACATTAGTGGATGGTACCAGAAGGTTTACCTGTAAGGGAAAACCTGTCTACCACTTTGTAGGCACCAGCACCTTCTCCCAGTACACAGTGGTGGATGAGATTTCAGTAGCCAAAATTGATGCAGCTGCACCGCTGGAGAAAGTCTGCCTCATTGGCTGCGGATTTTCCACTGGTTATGGGTCGGCAGTCAAAGTTGCCAAGGTAGGAATGACACTGGCCAGTAAAACCAGTTCTATTCAAACTATCAGGAAACAAATGGGGAAGCCATTTCTGACAGGAATTAGAGGTTCTTCTTCAAACTTCAGTGGTGGTAGTGGTGGATATGAATAGAACTCTAGCCCTGGAAGAAATATGCGAGCATGTCTTATATTAAAGGCCAATTTTAAAAATGTTGAGGTATTGATAATTAAGGAAATGTAACTGTTTCATTTTCAATAATTATAATTTAACTAGCATTTGTTATTGATTAAATATTAGGTTCTGGGACTCTCTGAATCATAATTTTAGAAATAAAAATCAACCATCTATACACACTTGGCATAGCTGGCTCTGTTAGCCTCGGAGGCAATGGGAGGCCCTGAAGTCTTCATGTCAGTGCTTGAAAGGGGAAGCCTGTCTTCAGAGATGCTCTTGAGGACATCTTATTTCTCTTTCCAGAATAAGTTGGTTTTGTAAGAAGCAGGAAATGAATTTTTAGTGATATTTATTCCACTTTTTACAAACTTTCACAGACTGATAGGGAAATCTTCCACTCACTGGTTCCCTCACTCTCGAAATGCAGATGATAACCAAGGCTCAATCAGGCTAAGCCAAAGGTTTAGAGTTTCTTGTCAATCCTCAGTATGTCAATGACCAAAACTTGAGCTATTGCACATGAACAGGAAATTGGAGCCAAAAGGACAGCGTAGATGTTAATCCAAGCGCTACAGCACAGAATCTTTCTTTGTGCTAAGTGCCCAGAATAACAGTAGGTTAATGAAGTAATAAATGTACACTAATTGAGAATGTAAAATTAAATTATTGGGGCAAAAAAGTATCTTACCCACTCTCAAAGATGACTGCAGAAGACTAAGTTCATTAAAGAGAATTAAGACAACTGAAGCTATTTAGAGCACAGCTTTTCCAAATATCCGCGACTTTAGACACAACTGCTTTGTGACATTGCATAATCTGTTTTAACATATGATATAAGTGAGCCTACACAGAGACCAGAAGCTAAGGGTAATCATATTAATGCATTTTGGTCTCCACTAAAATCAATGACATATTTTCATTGCATTACTTCATTACACTATCATTTCTGAGCATTTAAACTCAAAGATCAAATTAACGAAGAGCACATTGGTCTCAAGGTGTGTTCCTTAAGTGTTTTATGCTGAATTTCCCCCCGTTGCTTAGGCTTTGCTTTAAAACAAGATTAATTTGGTTATGTTTCACAGCTAACTTTTGTTCTTGTTTTACTGTGAATGAACCAAAAAGGAATTAATTCTTGAGGGTGTGATTGTGTCATTTTTCAGTCTTTGGGCATGACCTTGTCCACATATTTCATTTCCCAAAACTGCTTGCATGTGTGTATGAGGCACTGAAACTGGATGACAATGGATTTGAGCCATTGAGGGTCTCATCATGACTGCAGTCATTGACATTGTGATCATCCAAATCACTGGTTCCTAGTTTGGGCCCCAGTTGCATTCACCTGGGGTGGGGTTAGTCCGCAGAGATCATGATTTAATTGACACAGCTCTAACTTAGGCACTGGGCTTTTTGGAAAAACAAAAAATAAACACCCCCAAATAAGTCTTAAATACAGGAAAGTGTGAACAACTAACTAGTTTAACATACTCCAGATAGACATGAAGCAAGAAGAGGTTTGCACAGTGGGTTTGATGGAAGACTATGAGGAGCTGCTAGTAACAGACATGGTATGGCACTTCACAGCTTAGTTTTTGAATAAGTGTCACTTAATCCATTTTTGCCTTTTCTGAAAACACAGGTCACCCCAGGGTCGACCTGTGCTGTGTTTGGTCTGGGAGGAGTTGGCCTCTCTGTTATTATGGGCTGTAAAGCAGCTGGGGCAGCCAGGATCATCGGGGTGGACATCAACAAAGACAAGTTTCCAAAGGCCAAAGAGGTTGGTGCCACTGAGTGCATTAACCCTCAAGACTATAAGAAGCCCATCCACGAAGTGATACAGGAAATGAGCGACGGAGGTGTGGACTTTTCATTTGAAGTGATTGGTCGGCTTGACACCATGGTATGTACTAAAATATACCTTGAGATTACCACTTCCACAATCTGGAAGCTGCCTTAAGCAAAAAACTATATAATAAGATTTACTAGAATGATGAAAGATAATTTTTTGCCTCTATTTCTTTGATCTGGACTGTTTCATTTATTGTTAGGAGAAATTTTTCATTCAATCAGCTAAACAGAACTGAAGAATACTTCCATTTCATAACTGGAAAATGTTTTTTTTTTTTCTTAAAGAACCATTCCAAAATAAGCATGCTAACATTTACAAAGAATCAAACTAAAGCAAATACGAGTAACAAAAATTCTTTTTTTTTCATTGGCAGGTATATTTTGTCTCACATTCTTATAAATATGATTTTAAAGGTTTCAGAAGCTTAATGACTTTTGTCACAAATTTTCATTTGACTATAACTAACAAGGATCATTTTAGGCCACATTGCATTTTGTTAACACAAAATATCCCAACGTAAGATGAATGCTTATATCATTACATCTTACGAGACTCAGCATATTGCATGTCTCAGCACGTAGCAGGATCTATATATTCATTTAAATAGTCATCAGTTTTTGTTGGGCACCAAGTTTCACTTTTGCTTAGGAATAACACGACACAATGTATGTAAAATACTTATCACATGAAACGTCTCCTTAAATGACTTCCTTACAGTAATGACATTTACAATATAAATAATGTTACTTCCATAAAATTTCAAATGTCACCAATTGCCACAGGGAAGATATCCAGATTTGTCTCTCCTAACGTGAATTCTTTAGATTTCTACACTTGAAATAGTAATGACCACATATCATTACTATCGACACTCTCCAGTAAGTTCTCACAATTTTGCTAACAGAGAGAGAGATTAATCTTCCAGTAAAAGTCTTTACAGTCTTGCCCTGCTCCAATATACTATAAATGAATTAAGTTCTTGGAGAAACCAGCTCTTTCCATACCGTTGATTTTTTCTATGCTCCTTTTACTAAACACCTCATGAAAAAACGGTTTTGACTATTTCAAGGCATCAATTCCTGATACCCACCTATTCTGAGGACAACTGATCTTCAACTGTTATGGAAAAATTAACCATTATATAACATGGGAGAACCCAGACATTTTTCATTCTTCAGAATATGTCCCTAAGCCTGAATACAGCAGGATAGACTTCTGGAATGTCTTTCAATATAATATAAAGCCAGGTTAATAAAGTTTAAAGTAAAAACTAAATAAATATATATAATAAATATATATAATAAAATAAATATATATAATATATTATATATAAAATAAATATATATAATATATATAATAAATAAATATATATAATAAAACTAAAATATATCCATTTTAGACATGCACAAAAAAGGAACCATGGGAAAGGAGGTGAGAATATATAAGAAAAACTATTAATAATACAATAAAAATTAAGAGGCACAGGTACAAAATACCAACTCATTATATTAATGTAAAATAAATTAAGCAACTCATACTTCGCTCATACACTGTAAAACAAACTGTAAACTTAATTGAGGAAACTGTTTATATTTTACATGTTTATAGACATGTTTTCCTCTTTACTAGCGCTTTACTTTGTTTTTTCACTGTACAGTTCCAAAGGCAGAGAGATTCCATTTCCACTTCTTTATCCCAAATTAATTATACACTACACAACACATCATGTTGATGAATATATACAACCAAAATCTTTGATGTCTTCTTGCGTAACATTTATAAAAAGGCAATAAACACATACCGATTTATTCATTTTTTCTTTCCTTCAAAAAATATGTTTATGGATATTTCCAGTAGCAACAACACTACACAATGAATGCAGGCACCAAGGGAAATTAAGGAGGTCAGGAACATAATCCCTTCTCTACACACTTTCTGGCCTGGTCTATATTACACTATATTACTAGAGTAATATTAGGAACTATCCGAGAATCTACTTTAATAATGCTCAATGTGCTTTTATTCCAGACTGCTGCCCTGTCATGCTGCCATGGGTCGTGTGGCACAAGTGTTGTCGTAGGGGTACCCCCAGATTCACAAAGCCTCTCAGTGAACCCTCTGGAAATACTGACAGGACGCACCTGGAAAGGAGCAGTCTTTGGTGGTATGTAGACACAGTCAGGCTTGAAGAGCTGAGTCTAAGAATTTCCCACCTTCTACAACTGACAAGTCAGAGACTCAACCCTGGGTGCTGACATAGTTGGAGGGCAAGAAGCAACCCTCTCCCCTTCTCTCCTCTGCCCCTTCCATTTACACAGGAGGGAGAAAAAAAAAGAACTGAAATATTAAAAGCACCCACCTTCCTCCACACCTTGACCTCTTCACTATAATCAGAGGCCCCATGTAGATATGCAACAGTCTCACCTATGCAATCAATGTCCAATATAAAATCAAATCACAAAAATAAGCAACAAGGTCAGGTTTGAAAAGCAATATAACCAAAAGTAAATTTGATTTCCTCTTGTATGTATACATTCCATTAAGACAGGAAAAAAATGCACAGAGGAAATCCTAAAACAGATTTTCTGGTGACCTCAAAACCTAATCAAGAACTTTCAGCACCACCTCTTCTGATTTTTATGACTACATACATAAAGCATCCACATTCCTAGCAGGACATAGGAAAGCTATAGCTATCGTTCACAACATCATCCATGTCTCAAGGTTAAGCAACTGCTCAATTTGCTCCTTAACCTAGGCCATAATCAACTGTGCCATAATTTCTCCATGAAAGAGTGAAGAACTCAGCCCCCTGGCATAGCCAGGGGGAGTTGAAAAATAAGTAAAACCCTACAGAGGGATGCTAAAGTATTACCTCTCTATTAGGCTCAACAATAGTAGTCTGTATTTGTAATACTTGTATAAAGATTCATTTGATTGTATTGAAAAGTGTATTCTCCTTGTTGCAACTAACAATAATGCTGTCTTCTCTTTAGGCTATAAGAGTAAGGACTCTGTTCCCAAGCTCGTAGCTGATTTTATGGCTAACAAGTTCCAGTTGGATCCACTAATAACCAAAGTTTTACCCTTTGAAAAAATAAATGAAGGATTTGACCTGCTTCGCACTGGAAAGAGGTAGATTTTAAGCTTCTTGTTGTGGGAGAAGGTGGGCTCGTTTTGAATGAAAATGTGGAAGGCTGAGAAAGCCTTGGAGTGGCTTGCTTTTCCTCAATCATTCAGTCTTTTCAGGTAGAACATCTAAGATCAGGCTGTGAGAAGCTAAGAGTTATTGTTTTGCAGTTCCTGTTGTGCTAAAACCAAATGCCATTGCTTACAGCACATCTGAATGATCAGAACCACTCAGACTTCTGCACGGTAGAGCACTGACCCTTCAGGGAATAGAAGCCATCCTAATTCCATCATGGAGTCACTGAGGCCTCTGGTGGGACACAGAGGACTCCCATTAATGTGTACATCTGAATTCCATTCATAATATCCCTAATTTGCATTGTGCTAGTAGGTGCCATTACTGTGCGACTGCTTTCTATACAGATAGTACCAGCATTTAGTCTTAAACATACTGTAATTTTTACCTCTTTTTACACTTGATAGAGACTTTTCACAGAGAAAAGTTGTTTTAAGAGGACAAAATGCTATTTGAAATGTAAGCTTAGTTTGGGAAAAGCCAAGTTCCTGTCTTATTTGTACCTTTTAGCTTTAGAACCATCTCATAGCATGAGTTTAGGCACCTGCATTTACATGAGGCACAGCTGGTAACAGCTAATAACAGTGCCCTTCCTCTGGCCCCATTGGCCACAGTGGAGCTTCTTTGCCTGTCTCACACTTACTGTCTTGAAGCTTCCAATGATCAAGGACATTTCTTGGACACTCACATACCATACACTGGATATATCAACAATCTTGACAAAGGAAAGAAATTAGCATGCTTAAATAAGTGTTTCAATAAGTGTCTCATTTTAATTATCTAACATGGCTTTCAACCAGTGCTCACAGGCTCATCCCAACTTCACCATCAAACGGGAAAAGTCAGAGGAGTCACTTGGCCAATTCAGGCAAAGGGTAGGCATGGAGGCCAGAATTCCAAGTTAGATGAACTGCTAGCAAAGCCAGTTTTCTCTCGATTACATCACATTGACTCCTAAGCTCAAAAGCAATGAAGTCCAGTAGATATGAAAGGTTAGTTACCACTGACTAATATCATCATTATTAGGCAGTAAAGTTGATGGCAAACACAAAGCTACTTTAAGAACTTCACAAAAAAATGGTGTCAAATGACATATTTATGTTGGTACCAAAATTACTGCAAATTGCAAATTCTTTTATAATAGACAATTTCCTCAAATATTTTGAAGATGCCTGTCTAGACATCATGAAGATAAGAGAGCAGCATTCAGCTTGAAATGAATTTGTTAAGCATGCTTCCATTCTCTTTATGTGAATGCTACATGGGTGATCATACATATTTAAATAAACAGAACCCTGTTAACAAGCAAAGATCCAAAACTATAACTTTCAATATTGATAAGCATAGGGTCACTTGGGCACTTTAATGTACTGCTCACAGAAATACTATTGCAGAAAAATCGGGTAATTTCCACCAGAAACCTTTAGACACAGAGACACTTTGTCCAATAATTCAACTTTTAGAAGTCAATTTTTCATAGAAAAAGAATGAAAATGGTAACCCACATCTCTGAATATACATATTTTATAGATACATACATACATATATATATATATATATATATATGAGCAAGAAATTGTTGAATGGCTAACATTAAGGCACTGATTAGATCTAATCATATTAGAAGTGAAAAAAAATCTATTAAAATCATTTCAATACACTTAGAAATTCTCATACTCTCAGGCTCAGAAAAAGAGAATATAAACTTATATGCATAATGAGACCCTAAATTTTCAACAGAGTAGCAGTAAAATGGGAGAATACTCAAAATAGAACCAGAAGAGAACTGCACTTTTTCTTGTCATGAAAGCACAGGAAGGGAAGGGGAATGGCTGGGAACATAGATTTTCTCTGAGACTTACAGAATGTTCCTTTGATTCTAGTGTGCAAGAGTATGAACTGTCTAAATGTTAAAACACTATCTTTTATTTCCTATTTCAGTATTCGTACCATCCTGACATTTTGAGATCACACAAATGCCTTCCCTGGACACAGTCCTCTGATGCCCGTGCTCTGCATCATCTGCAATACAAGCCACACAGCATTACTTCTACTTCTTCTTTCTGGGAGATGCCTCAATAAACGAGATGTGAAAGCTCTGCCAAAAAGCTGATGTGAAATACTTTTCCAAGCACTTGCTTAAGTCTCACTGAGATCTCTGTAGGATATTGAACATAATCTGGGAAATAGGAAGCCACTAACTGATCCTTCATAGTCATTCTACACACATGCCACCTTTCCCACTGAGGAAAGACATTTCCTGAGCTGTTTTGAATTTTTGCATCTCTGCAACACTTAATCATTGACCCCTAGTGGACAGGATCATTCATTTCTCCCTAAAATATACATGATAGAGTATTGCATATGGGCCGTCAACCCCTGTGGGAAGCCATGCAGTTGGGACAGATGGAGTAAGGGTGTGACTAGCACCACCCCTCAGTTAGCAAGGATTCAGGGAGATGCTGGCCATGTGGCAAGACCCGTCAGAATGTCTCTAATCACCTCATTGCTGCCTCATCCCATTGAATGCACACTCGATGACTTCTCTAATATTTCATAGAAAACTTTTGAGGCTGTCGTTTCTGTTTTTCTGCAAATGTGAAATGATTCCTGCAGCCAGTATAACATCTCAAACTGGTCAATCATGTTATGGTGAAAGGGTCTTTAGCAACTAAAGGCAATGACACACAGCTAAAAGCATACAATGATACAATAGAACCTACACTGTCCTCAAACATCCTGTTATGTGCACACCTTTGTCCTGGAGCTTGCCCTAATATAAATAATGCATTCCTTAAGAAACGGCTTGATAATATCTTGGAACAAATTGGGCAATCAAGGATGTTCAAAGAGTTTGTTTACTGTGCAGCCTCAAACTCTGACAACACATGAAATGACACATTTTGGTTACTCACTATGGAAAGCAGAAAGTACATTGGGCACCTTCTAAAGGGAGACAAATGTGAACTCCTAAAGAAAAATGGTTTAAAACTTCTACCTTATATTGGCACTTATGTTCAGCAAAAGAAAATAGTTTGGAAAGATAAGAAGAAATTTATTGTAAAGGCATCTGTTCACGAAAAGGCTGAGTTGCCCTGATCCCCTTCACTGACACTTAACAAAAGAACAAAACACAATTGAATCAGTACTAGGTGAAAGTGATGGTAAGTAGTATATGACTGACACAAGGTGTAATCAGGAATCTATGCTATATGCCTTTATACATTGCCTTCATCTACGGATATTCTTTTTAATACTGCACTCTTCAGATTTTTAGTAATGTTAGTTTAGGTTTAGTGAAAATTGATTTTGGATATAAGTAAACCACTTGTCACTCTGTAACCACATGTGCTGCCAACCAAGGAGTTCCAGGCTTCAGCTGCATGACTGCAGGTTTGAATGAGTAAGGGTTTGCTGAAAATGTCTTCTTTGAAGTAAAACAATAATGCTTTTAAGGATTCTTTTTGTATTCTCTTAACCATGAAGCAAAAAGGAAACAAATGGATGTCATGCAAAAGCATGTCATGATTTCTGCATAAATAAAGAAGGCAGCTTTATTGAGTTGTCCATTACGATCATTGTGCTGTACTGGTCCACGTCTCCTCCTGTCTTCTTGCCAATCCACGCATCCTTTGCAAGCTGTAAAGTCAGCGGGAGCTGGTCTCTGGCAACCACTCTTTCTGTTTCCTCAGTCTGTAATCTCATTTCTTCTCTTTTCCTTTTCTTATCCTTTATTGGAATCTTTCCACACTTCTCTTCCAATCCTTCATATAGCTTAGTAAACATTGCTGTGAACCATAGTTACCCATGGGACCCCTGAACTTGTCACTCTTCTTCGTGTGGTGAAGCACTATCCAACCCCACCCTATCTTGCTCTCCCCCACCATTCAAAACACTTACAATGCCTCTTCTAACTTCAGACCTACTTTGAAAATTTTTACAAGTCAGAGAGAACATGTTCTTGTCTTTCTTTGGCTTATTTCACTTAAAATAATGGTTGTCAGTTTCACACATAATGTGGTAAATGTCAATATTTTATTTATGTTCATGCCCAGACAGTATTCCATTGTATAGCTTTACCACACAGCCCTTGGAAAGTTCCCGAGACAGCATGTCCCTAAGATAACCACTTCTCTTAGGGATGCTCAGTCACTTTTACAGTAGAGCTAGATTATATCTGTTCCAGAGAAAGACAGGTAGTGCTCAATGCCTGCCTCACAGCAGCAGCATGTAAACCTTGAGGCCTGCATCCTGCTCCCACTCCTACTTCCCAGGTTGGGCTGGAGTGTGAGGAAACAACATAGATGTAGTGGTTGAGGTGGAGAAAGAGGGGTTGTCTAGTGTTGTTGTGGAATGGCACAGCCCTCAGGGAATCTTCAGGACCCCACACCAGCTGTTAGTTACATTGACATTGGTAGGAACAGAATGAATTCAAATAGAAGTTCACAAATGGAGCCTCATGGGCCAGACATTTGGAGCCGTGACTGAAACATCTGCAACTCATATTTGAGTACTTCACATCAAGTTCCAGCTCCCCTCCCATGTACTGCTTTCTCCTTATGTCACCCTGAGAGACAGCAGGGGATGGCTCAAGACATTGATGTCTGTTTTTTACCCGGGGATTCTGTTGAAGTGTACAGCCTCCTGCCTTCAGCTGGGCCCACCTCTAGAGTTTGTGGGCATCTAAGAAGTTAGCTAGCAGATAGGAGGTGTGTGTGTGTGTGTGTGTGTGTGTGTGTGTGTGCGCACCCACACGCATTATCAAATAAAGAATAAGTGGAATCACAGAGTGAGTAGTCCTAACATTCATACACTCAGACTGTGCTAATAGCTTCTGTCAAATTTTGACTCTGGCATCAAGAACTTAACTTCCATGTTTGCTCATCCCCAATAAGAAATGCAACTCGGTAAATGTATGTGGTTTGCACTCACTTGTAGCCAGCAGGTCACAGCTTAGTAAAATGAATGTCAATTTCATTTAAAAGAGAAAGAATTCAAGGTTGATAGATTAACTAATCAATAACCCCAATATACTGCTTTAGCACCTCAAGAGAATGAACATAAACAAAAGGAGTAACACCACATAAACATTATCCACGCACTGCTTCACAAATCACACAGCTGCTCTAGGGCCAGAAAGAAAGCAGTATTGATGAAATTATCATATAATTAATCAAAACTATTAATAGAGTGAGAGCATGTGTGCTTGGTAACCACATACTCAGAAACCTATTCAACTCTGTTCATCTATATTTATTGCACAAAACCTGAATCAGGCATCACCTGAAATTGTTAAAGTCATGAGAGTCTTGAGGAATTCAAAATATTTGTGTCAGTCCAATGCCAAGCAACATTCAAGTAGTTGGCTATTGTATAAGAAGAGAATCTGAATTACTGTAGGCAAGAACAAGAATAAAAACCTAATGAGAGTACTATAGTTGTGGCCAATTACGATTTTGATAGAAAGAGTGGTTATCTATTGGGGATTTGATTGTTCATATTACTCATTTGAGATTTGGTATCCTTAAAATCATAACACAGCTCCATCATAATCAGGTGACTGCAGAATTGCTTAAGAACTCACCAAGCCATGCTGACTCATGAACAAGAATAATTAGAGAATGATTTCCATGTTGTGGTTTGCTCTTTTAGGGCTCTTACATACTAATAAATAACTTTATGTCTTTGTTATCAAGGAAAACGTGCTACTGCAATCAACAGACACATCTTTTCTGACTAAAATATTGTAAGACTACTATATCCACCACGAAACCCATAATTCACAGAAGTGTGATCACTTTAAGGAGCTATAACTACATTTTTGATGCAGTAACATTTTCAGTTCACTTTAAATCTAAATAATAAATATCATCTTGGTGCTGCCATACTGAAAAATGTGTTGGAGGAAAAAGATGGGAAAAACATTTTGATAAGCATTTCTGCTGAATGTGAATTTAAGCCTTAAGAAATCAGAAGCAAAACCAAAACCGTAGAGAAGTCCCTTACTAATAGAAAGAAATCCTAGGACTTTGTTTTTATCTTTCTAAATCTTCAAACTAAAATGGGTAGCAGAAAGAGCTTAGAGTATTCAATGACCATTTATTTGACATTTCTTACCTTCCCCTCATTCTGGAACACTTGGATATAGGGAATATTCAAAGCATGCCGACTGACTTCTATGTGTGGCCGTGAAGTATGCTTTTTTGGTCTGTCTGTTTTCCAGCTCCTCCATACCTCTGTGGAAAATGAAGAGTGAAGAAGGTAAGGGAAGAATAACATAGACAAAAGAAATTAGCAATGTTTGCCTTCACAATTCCATTCTGTGATTATGTTGATTGACACCCAGCACAAATATTTATGCCCAAAATTGGAGGAATTATAGGAGGTAAACCGGGGGAGGAGGACTATCCTGGATCAAAGATTTCAGCATCAAAGAGCAGAGCATTGAGGGAATTAAAAGCAGGCAGTACCACTGCACTATGAACTTCATAATGGGAAATATCAGCAGCCAAGTAATAATGATCCCTGAATCCCTTACAAGAGAGTTTAGACTTTATCTCTGAAAAATATGAGCTCTAGGAACATTCGTCTCAGCAGAGTGATAAGATCTCTTTAGTGGGACATTAGAAACTCAATTTTGCAGCTTGGAAAAAGTTGCTGAGAAGGGAGATGCAGGGTTTAGGAGGTTTGAGTAATGGACAAACAAAAAGCAATGACTCAACAGAAAAGGTAAAAAGGGCACCCATGAAGAAAATCTCTTGGGAAACATCAGTGATTCAGCCTCAAGCCTGCAGGAGTACAGAGCACAGGACAGAGGGAGGTCTGGAGAGTCTGGCCTGATGACTGCAGGTCAGACCCCTTCACCAGCCTGTAATCTCAAAACAGCCTCAGGTATTTGTGATGAACATGGTTGTCTTAGTCTGCCACTGCAACAATATCTGATTTACAATGAATAGACATCTATTTTACATGGTTCTGGAGGCTAGAAAGTCCAGCACCAAGGTGCTGTCATCTGGCAAGGGTCTCCTCACCATTATACAACCTATGGTGGAGGAGGACAGGGTAAGAGAGAACAAGAAAAAAATTTTTTTAATTCTT